TTCTATCACTGTCACGTTCACTACTGGTCCAGCAAACCTTTCCAGCAAACCGGAAACACACATCCTTCAAATCTGAAATAGTTGCCTGCAGCTTCGACTTCTTTCTGAGATGGCAATCTAGGCTTACGTAAATAAATCCCAGGAATACTTTTAAGATATCAAGAAGTAAAAGGTGGATGATATTTACTGTTTATTCGAATCATAGATGTAAATTCAAAATGTCAACGCCATAGAATAATCAGTCTTGTATATCTGCCAAAACATTCCATTGGACATTAAAAAAAGTAAGTATTTGTTTTGGCCATCATTTTCATTGTCTTTGAGACAAAAAGAATTTTCTTTCATAATAATTATGCATGTCCTATTCTACTGGTAGCACCACCACTCACATAATTTGCATAAAAAATAAGTATTTGTTTTTTGTTGTGGCATGTGTCATTTAGTCAAAAAGAATCTTCTTTTCATGATAACAATTAGTAATAATAAATAAAGCAACAAAATCCTTTCCATATTCATAAAAAAATCTTTGCTGAAAGGAGAGTCGATTGTACAATTCCGACTATATTATGAGCTATCACTATCAAATAGTGATGATACCAGGTGTTTGCAAAAAGGTGAGTGTATCCTGCCCCACCCCGGCACCCATAAAAAAAACATGCAAAGGCAAGTCAAAATTAAAGTTTTAGCATAACAAAAGGATAACGGTATGAATATTCCTGTGAGGGATTGCTTGGCTTATTAATAGTTATCCAAATCAGCTGATGTTATAATAATTGATACAATTCTGACATGGGAGTCATATTTGCATGACAAAATATTAATTGGGTGATGTCAATTTGTGTTTTCCTACAAAATTAGCTTACTTCAAGGAGATTATGTAATCTGCAATTAACACATGTCGCCTCACGTCTGCTTCGTCCATTTCTGAAGGGCTGTGTTTAAACATGCTGGTTATCAAACTTGACACAAGCAAGGAAAGTCTGTCATCCTTTGTTCCAAACCATTTTTTCCTGAACATTGTCTTGTCATCAAACCAAGCATTCTCCTACAAATTTCATTCATGGAAAACTGTTGAAGTGTGAGTTATCAGATTTTAATGAGACAGGTATGAAGGTTGCATTTACTTGGGTTTCGGTCGGACACGTAAACTTCATTCTTGCCTTGATAAAAGGATGGTATTCGATCGCTGTGCCCGTTTTCATTTCCGACTTGACAGCCTATGCACAACTTAAGCAGGATGTAGCAAGTACAACGCCACAAAATTCAACGAATTTAATCCATTTTGCCTGGGCCATACTGGATGCTATTAAATCCATTACGATGTATTGATCTGTGAGCCCTGGGACTCGGCAAACATGGTCGTGCAATGATCACTCGGTGACATGCAAATGTGCGATTTTATTCACTGGAGGAATTCACAGAAACGTCATCCCGGTTTTATCTTTTGTCAAATTTCACGGGAGCACTGAGCACAGAAAATCTGATAAGCCTCCATTAATTAGAACAATGACAAGCCCTGGTGTTTGTTGCAGTGAAAATTGTCAACCTAAATCTGTCTTATAAAGTATGCTATGAATTTGATTATCTCCATTAAGTGTTTATTGTTGGAGCATGCCTTCATCGGCGTTCTACAGATGATGTAGCCACAACAAGCCCAGCCAGAAATAACCTGTGATAACAGCACCTAACAGGACAACACCAGTCTCTGCTGTATGCAAGTCGAGCCTTGCTGCAAGGTTGTACTGAAAGAAAAGTCCATGGATGTGTTGTAATTCTATCCTCCTAATAGGCAAGTCTAGATATGTGGACAGTACAAGTCTCTACTAGCGACAACTCGTTCTTATTATTTACGGAGAGCAGAAGGCCCGGGGTTCGATCGCCAGCCGCATCATACCAAAAGACGTTAAAAGATGGTACTTGTTGTTACCCTGCCTGGCATTTGGCATTAAGGAGCTAAAATAAGGATTGGTCGGCTTGGAGTCAGTATACTGTGTCTGAGTGGGGTATTCATGTTAAACTGCAGTATGGTATCTCAGTGGGCTAGCCATCTAAATCGGGATGAGTCCAAGACTAGTACAAGCGCACACACACACGTGCATGCACGCCGCTATATAAGTGCAATAATCTTGGACGCTACATTAAACCCCATTTCACCTCACCTCATCTTATCATTTACATAACTAGAACTTATGATTTAAACTAATAATTGTTGCCTTATAGACTTGTGCAAGTCTAGCAGGAGTCCTATGCTCTTTGTTCATTCATCTCCATGTAACAATGAGTTGCTTGGCCCACACGAATGTTATATAAACATATCAGTCACGATTTGAGCAACACAACATGCAGCCAGTTCCTCCATGCTATAATTGTTCATCTCAGCAACAAAGCAAAAGAGAAAGGGATTCTATTATCTTTCCATTACTACCTCCGTGGCTGTTACCGAACCATCTCCTAATATATTATGCCATCCTTCAACAATAACAGGTTTGCATCAGGAGTTATACTGGAGATACTTCCATCTCAAAGGGATATACATAGCTCTTCTTTAAAAAAGTCCTGAAGTTAGGAGACTATACCTCCTTCCTGTATCAGAGTGAGATGTAAAAGATGCGAAGTTGACATAGTAAGGAAGACACATGACATTTTCCTTGTATCAATAACTGTTTCCATCGCAATGTCATTATAGTTCTTCCTGCGAACCAGTAGCACAAGGGAGGTAACTCCATCTTGTTTGTGAAATAACTCAACTGTAATATTAGAACAGATGCAAAAACTATCTAATTCTTAACTAATTAACCTGGGTGCAATTTGGTAAAAAATGAATTTACTGCTGAGATAATGATAAAGTAATTTTGATGTATGTGAGAAAGGATTGTGTTTTTGAGCGGATCTCATTTTACAAGTAATGCGCAATCGGGACATTGTTGTTGATCGATAGTGAATGATATTTCCCCACAGCATCTGAGGTTTTTCATCATGGATCATAGATAAGACGCTTTCTGATGAGACGCTGAGCAAATGACAAGTTTTACTCCATGATGGCCTTGTGTAATACCTCGTGTATGAAAGGATGAAGCCGCCTTTTTAACAGCCGACAATCAATAATAAGGTCAGCGCCACCTATCTCCTGTCGTCACAGAAAGGGCTGTACAACCATCTTTTCCTTCAAGTCAGGAGTACGACAGTGCTGACGCGATCTCGCTGTCAAGCATGTCACTTCGTATGTTTGTAGCAAGTCTTAGGGAAAGTAGAAGCATCCACTCTGCTGCGAATAACTTGAAAAGCATTCATGCATTAAAATATTTGATGAAATGGGAAGAGAAGACGCTGACTGATATGCTTAGTGGAGAAGTAAGAGGATTTACAGTATTTGACATTCTTCTAATAGGAAAACAGTACAGTCATTTCTAGCATCCCCTGCTGATTGGAATACAAGACCGGTACCAGTATATGCAACATTTTGGCATCTTGCAAGAAAACCGGAATTGAAATAATGGTGCAATCTAACTTAATGATTTGCGATTGCCCTTACTGATGCATTAAAAATAGTTGTTTAATGCGAAACTCAGCAATATTCCAGCTATTTGACGGCACTCTGGAACAGACAATCCACTGATTGATATCACAAGCATTGATCCACACAATTGGGATATGATGACATGCATCAACCAAGTCAGCAAGCCTGACCACCCGATCCCGGTAGTCGCCTCTTACGACAAGCATAGTGGCCTTTTAAGGCAAGCATGGGTTTCTGCAGACCTATTCTACCCGGATCTTCATTGGTCTAAACCAAGGAATGAGATGAAACTAGGATGGAAGAACTATCAAGTCAGAGAACCTGACCACCCAATCCCTTTAGTAGCCTCTTCCAACAAGCAGTTACCTACATGGGGTTTGAGTTTTGAAATGACTGAAAATTAGAATATAAATTTTCAAAAATAATGTTGAAGAGGGGTATGCTTTTACAGATTTAAAAAAATGCTTATTGTCATTTGATGCAGCTATGGTTTGAAGGGAGACATGATTCCTCCAAGGAGAATGGAGGTTTGGACTTTCTATTATGATTTGTGTGGATCTTAGTTGGCGCCAGTGAGTCTACGCCTCAAATCTGACATTACGTTCCCAATTCGAACATGGTATTTTATAGTCACCAAGGGAGACACTGTCACACAGAATACGGGGCTACGGTTGATGGGTTCCCTGTAGACCCCAAATGTTTTACTTTATCACCGATGGAGTTTGATGCCTGTCATCTTTCTGATGATGTTGAGCTTTATGCGTCTTTGTTGGTTTTCACAAAGTCTTTGTCTTGAATCATGGTTACTCTTTGAAACATTTTCCACTTACAGATATTGGTATAAAAAATTGTTGTTGTGAAATCATTAAATTTCAATTGATGTGCAAAGATATAGACATATTCTTTTTGTCAAATCGGCAATACAATAGCTGCGTTTTTTTATTTGGAATTTTAAATTACAAAAATATATTGTTTGAAAAGTATTGTTTCTACAACATTTGTAGTATTTACATACATTGAACCGGGCTAGATGAGAGAGATTCATCAGAGGACTATTCTGCATGAATGTGAAAAATGTTTTAGTCTGGTATTTTTATGAATTATAAATGAAAGTTTATCATAATTTTTATTTTTATATATCCAGTCCAGTTAGAATAGGTCTTCAGCAACCCATGTTTGTCATAACAGGCGACTAATGGGATCGGCTTGCTGACTTGGTTGATGCATGTCATAGTATCCCAACTGCATGGATCGATGCTTATGATATCAATCACTGGATTGTCTGGTCCAGCCTCGGATTATTTACAGACCGCCGTCGAATAGCTGGAATATTGCTGAGTGCGGAGTAAGCAGCAAACAAAACAAAATCCAGCTGCAGGATAGGAATTTCTGTATTTTGTTGATGATTGCCCTTCATAATTGGTTTTGCTCAGTTTAACTAATTCTGGTCCACAATAATGAAATTATGTCTTTTGATTTTCAGAGGAATGTCTGAATGCTTTGGGTATGCAGTCTGGCGCAATCCCAGATGATGCCATAACAGCTTCTTCATCATATGACAAAGCTCAAGTCGGGCCTGAGAATGCCAGGTAGGTGTCATATTTTAAACCTTTTGTTCTAAAATGTGCAGGGTTGACTCACAGATAGGCTGATTGTATTTGAAGAAGGCAGGACACAAACTCCCTATAGACACCTGGTGTCTTTGTTTACGTTCATACATCAGAGGCTCAGCGGATGACATCAACACCTGGTATCTTTGCTGGCATTTTCACATTTGGGGCTCCATCATGGAGGCGGATGACATCAACACCTGGTGTCTTTGCTGGCATTTTCACATTTGGGGCTCCATCATGGAGGCGGATGACATCAACACCTGGTGTCTTTGCTGGCATTTTCACATTAGGGGCTCCATCATGGAGGCGGATGACATCAACACCTGGTATCTTGGCTGGCATTTTCACATTAGGGGCTCCATCATGGAGGCGGATGACATCAACACCTGGTATCTTGGCTGGCATTTTCACATTAGGGGCTCCATCATGGAGGCGGATGACATCAACACCTGGTATCTTGGCTGGCATTTTCACATTAGGGGCTCCATCATGGAGGCGGATGACATCAACACCTGGTATCTTGGCTGGCATTTTCACATTTGGGGCTCCATCATGGAGGCAGGTGGTGACCTCAACACTTGGTGTCAACAATAACAATCACATTAGGGGCTCCACCATGGATGCAGGGCACACTCTACCTGTGGACACCCGGTGTCTTGGCTGGCATTTTCACATTAGGGGTTCAACCATGGAGGCAGGTGACATCAACACCTGGTGTAAACAATGACATTCACATGGGTGATCCACCTTATGGACACCTGGTGTCATCAAGGTTCTACCTGGGCATGATCAATGTCCTATACTCCTAGAGTACAATGACATTGAGGTCACAGAGAACTTCTCACTTTGAACAACTCTAAGAACAAGCATGAGGTATGGGACTCAACCCCCCAAAGTTCTAGAATCTGTACTTTACTAAGAAAGTGTCATCCCAAATATGACATTTGACACATTTGACCACTTTCTAAATGGCATTGTGTGTTCAAAGCATGAGGTACTTTGAACTCAGTTTCCATACAGGACATTATGAATTAGACATGGTGGCAGTTGTAAAGATTGGTACTATGATGTGACCTCTCTCTTTAGCCTTGCTCCAAGGCTGTACTGAAAGAAAGGTCCATGGATGTGTAGTAATTCTATCCTCCTAATAGGCAAGTCTAGATATGTGGACCGTAAGGACTTCAGTCTCTTATAGGGACAACTTGTTCTTATTATTTACATAATCTAGAAATTATGATTTAAACTAATAATCATTGCCTTAGCGACTTGTGCAAGTCTACTGTCTCTTGTACAGTTAAGTTTAGTAGACTACACATCACCTGCAGCAACGGTTCCCCATCTTTTCCTTGTAAACTTTTACAACAGGTGTGACAGACAGCAGGACCAGAAGGATATCACTTCTTCAGAGAAGGAGCTCAAATTATGTGAATAAAGCCATTTTATCTAACAAGCCGACAAAATTCGAAGCATGTTTGCTGGAACTCCTGGGTGGCTCTCCCAGAAAACCACAGGATTACAATCTTTACACCACAAAGGTGAAGCAGATGAAGAGAACTTCCTGTGAAGATTCTTTTTGTCACTTTTCTAAATCTCCAATCAAGAACTATGGAAGAAGAGCCATGCTGGGGAAAAAAATGAAATGAAGTTATAATGTATTGTGATCCTGCATTGTGGCATGGGAGAGACAAGTTCTTTGGAGAAATGAGACTGGAAAGCAAAGAATTTCTGTCGGCTTCCCCACCTTTGAAGTGTAATATCTCTTGTTTTTGATCAACACTGTAAATCCTGGCAATAGAAAGTCTCTGTTTATCTCTCGGCTGGTGTGTCGTGCTTATTTGATATTGGCAGGATTTACGTGTTGTATTTCTAGATGAAAATACATTGTTAATTCAGGATGATAGAATATGCCCAGCAAAGCTATCCATCTCACCAAATGAGCTCTGCTGATTTAATTTTCACTTGTAATTCATTCAAGACTGGTGCAATAGCTATTTACACTATCAGCTTACACTAGATCTGTAGCAGTGAACCTCGGTGTGTGCAGGATGGAAAGTCTGGCTGCTCTCTGATGCTGTGAGATGCATTCAAATTGTTTCTTGTTTATCATAAGACTATGTGACAGATAAGAATTTATGTGCTTAAAATGAAGTGATGTGTATTGAAACTTGTAAAGGAAAGATCAAAGACCCCAGTGTATCATATTTACTGACGTGTTATGGCCCAAAAACATCCTCAATGCTTGTGTTTGGGACATTTAAACAGCCTCATTTCACTGAGTAAGGAGGATTCACTGCCAAAATATGCAGACATCATTAAACTAAAGCAGGGTGTCATGATATGTTTATATACTTCTCAACGTCTGATAGGGATATTCTGAATGTCTTGGTGGAGCATGAATGCGTTTTGTCATTTGGAAATGTTGTCATACAAATAGTATTCATTTTTGCCATGCAATTGTAGCAGGGCGTGGAGTCATCCCACAGATGACATCCTTACCTTGTCAGCTTGCTGACGGGGTTAACCTCTTTGGTCATGTGGACAAGGCGTCCGACCTCTGATCAGAAGGTCCGTGGTTCGAATCCCATCACGGGACTCGGAAATTTTATGGCCGCTACACAATCGAGGCATTTTGTAGTTTCATTTCAAGTCAAGATGAAGTGCAAGCATACATTTCCAGCATCTGTATTGGTACGGTATGACTTAGCTCTGGAACCTTCCTGCTGTTGTACAGTAAGGTACAGTGAAACATAAGCTGTGTATTGTGCTCACACCTGTATTTCCCATCAGAAAGTTGATTTAATGAGCCTTGGTTTGGGACAGCTCTGTACACAATTTACACAGCTTCAATGACAGTTGTTCTTTGGTAAACGGCCTCCCATTTCATGGTTCCTGAAACTTGACATTCTTTCTCATTCATGAAGGTGACTTTATTGTTGGGTACGGCCTTGTGATCTGTGGAAGCGTGCACTGTGGAGTATGTGGCAATATCTGCTCCCTTGTCAATGCAGCCGATTGACACACAACATCTCTGTTAGGGCTGGGCTGGGTAACTTGGGTACCATGTTCGTGTGGTTACTGAGTAGGACCGTGGTTAGTCACGGGATATAATGTTTAATGACAAAAATTATCTAGAACTCTATGGTTACACTACAAGTCACAAATGTTCGCATTTCTTTCTGACTATGCACCCATTCCTTCTTATTTTTCATGTGGTTGAAAAAGATATAACTTAATTCAACTACAGTGTATGAATGACCAGATTGTTTAATACATGTATCTAAATACGTTTTGCCAGGGCTATGCTAAAAATGTTCCCAATCGGACATTTTGAGACATCTCCTGAGACCTACAGTGTCAGGTAATAGGACAATGGGTACCCGGGTAGTAAATTTGGACTCGTTCAAGCCCTAATCTTTGTAATGTTTATGAGGAATGAGGTTTAAATGCTATATGGCACGTACTTATACTTATACTTACACATACAATACACATATGCAGTTTTATTTGGCGTTAGTAGGGGGTTTCAAATGGTATGATTTCCGTGCATCAAATACTCAATAAAACACAAATCTTGAAACATGTACTGTTTCTTGACATTGTCAAATACAAACATTATCAGTGTTTTTTTTAAGCAAATGTTATTAGTGGTTTTGTGAAGCACTCTCTCACCACATTAACACTAACAGCTGCGAGGCAGACATGACGTCAGGCCAGAGTGCCATGACGTCAGGCCATAGTGCCATGATGTCCCGCCAGAGTGCCATGACGTCACATGCTTCCACGATCACTGAACTCACCTTGTCAGCAGAATGTGTGAAAAAAACTATATCCAAGTTGTTCTGACAAATATTATTCAGACTATTAATTAACATGGTATCTAATTCATCTAAGGGGTTTACTTTTCAAATTTGAGACTGAGATTAGAAGGTACTTATCAAGAAAAGTATATATATATATGCAGTGAAAGGTCTCAGAAATTTTTAGGTTTGTTTCTAGATTTTGTTTTTCAATCAGTCAGATTGCAGCACACACTCCCATTTGTTTAACAAGCAATCATAAATACCCTTTTGATTTTGTGATTTTTTTAATACGTTGCGAACACCTGGTGGCATCAGAGATTTTTAGTGATCCATTCATAATTTTTATTCATAATATAATTTTCTCAGCTATTTTGCCTTTACGCTTAATAGAGTCTGTTTGGGCAGATAATCAAGACTGGTTATTCTCTGGCATGGATGTTTTATATTCTATGGAGGCAGTGTTTGTCTATGAGGCCACAGCACCTACTTCAGTAAAAGTCCATTTTCTAGTACCATTTAGATAACAGCTGGCACAACCATTACCGGAATCTCACAACAGTTGTTATATAACAACCTTGCACTCCTGGCTGGCGGCCATTACACTTCCACTGACTAGAAACAGTACACATTCAATCAGGGACACTTGGTGGTGGCCAGTCTCGCATTCCATGCATAGGGAGAAAATCAAAACGTAATCATTTGCATCATAAATCCAAGGCTTTGTCAAGAACCAGAAGAGAAATCTTTGAGTTAATGACAGACTCTCTAAGTTTGTTTATTTGGAGACCAACCACCAATGGTGGAAAGGCTTGAGAATTAGGCATCGGTCCTGGTTAGAACATCTTAAGGCTGGAATTGTCTGTTTTTAATTGCCATAGTATTTTTTGTAGAGTAAATTTCTGTCTGAATTGTTTCATCAAGCAAGCTATTTCTAGGTTTGTTTGAGTTGTTTTTCTGTTGAAATAATATTTATGAGATGCTTTTTCAGGAAAGAAACTGGAAAGACTCTCAAGTTAAGAATTGTATTTGATGAAATGATATGTGTTTTCCTGAGAAGTATTTACATTAATTAAATTGTGCTGACTATAATTCTTCTCATCTTTCTCACAGTCTAGCAGTCGTCATTGCAATGTATTCCATATTCAGTGTCCAGATTCCATTTCATTGCCTCTCTGC